TGATGCTTACATGCCCATTGTAGGTGCTTTTGGCTGTGAACTCTAAACTTCTGAAGGCATGTTGTGGTATCTAGCACCAAGCTGTCAATAGCAGATCTTTTAAGTCCAGTAAGATTTAAAGGTGGGGCCTCCATGGATAGGACTTGTTTTTGCAGCACATCCCACAGATGCTTGAATGGATTGAGATCAGAAGAAGATGGAGGCCAAATCAACACCTCAAACTCCTGGTGCTCCTGAAACCATTTTTTGAATTCATCAGACCAAGTCACCTTCTTCCATTGATCTGTGGTCCAGTTCTGATGCTCATGTCCCCATTTTAGGTGCTTTTGGCTGTGGACACAGGTTGGCATGGGCAGCCTGACCTGGCTGCAGCTACACAGCCCCATACACAACAAAACTACAATGCTCTATGTTTGACAACTGTCAGAATCAGCATTCGCTTTTTGAGTGATTGATCCATCAGAAGAGCTACTGGAGCTCCAGACTATACAGACCAGCCTCCGCTCCCCACCTCCATCATTGAGCCTTCCCCCTCCCTACCTCCATCATTGAGCCTTCCCCCTCCCTACCTCCATCATTGAGCCTTCCCCCTCCCTACCTCCATCATTGAGCCTTTGTCACCCATGACCCTGTCACCAGTTCTTTCCTTGGACCACTTTTGGTCAGTTCCAACCCCAGCAGACCGGGAACATCCCAGAAGAGCTGCAGTTTTGTAGGTGTTTGGCTCAGTCTTTGGCCCTTGTCAGAGTTGCTCAAATCCTCTTGCCCATTTTATATTTTTCTGCTTTCAAACACAAATCTTCAAGGTCAACCTGTTTACTTGCTGCCTAATATATCCCACCCACTTTCAGATGCCATTGTAACCAGATAAATCAGTGTTATTCACCTTACCTGCCTGTGGTCATGTTATGGCTGATTAGTGTATGTAAATGCCAATGTCCCCTATGTACTCTCTCCCTTCTGGCTGTGAAGGTTCTCATTCATCCAAGGCATTGTAAGGCCATAAAACATCTCCAGCATTACAGAACAAGCCCAGCTGAATGGGACCAGTTACCGCCCCCCTTATACTGACCAATGCATTTCTACTGATAACACATCAGATAACTCTGCATAAGGCCCAGGTCAGCAAAAACTCTGGATGTCGTGCTGATCTTGGCCTTATGCAATCAGAAAGCATGCCTTTACTTTTTATTTAACCAGCTTCCATACCGGGCATTTTCACCCCCTTCCTGTCCAGGCCAATTTTCAGGTTTTAGCACTGTCACACTTTGAATGACAATTGCGCGGTCATGCCACACTGTACCCAAACTAAAATGTCATTTTCTTCACACAACTAGAGCTTTCTTTTGGTGATATTTAATCAACACTGGAGTCGTTTTTGCTAAATTAACAAAAAAAAGGCCAAAAATTTTGGAAAAAAAAATGTTTTTCTTTGTTGCTGTTATAAAAGTTTGCAAATAAATAATTGTTCTTCATAAATTTAGGCCGAGATGTATTCTGCTACATGTCTTTGGTGAGAATAACCCAAATTAGGATGTATTTTTTTAGTTTGTAGGAAAGTTATAGAGTTCACAAACTATGGTATAGATCTGAATATTGATCAATCCTGAAGTACTGACAGCCAATCTAATTTCTTGAGGTCCAAGAATGTCAGAACAGTACAGATATCCCCCAAATGGACAGGACGGTACAGATATCCCCCCCAAAGGACAGGACGGTACAGATATCCCCCCCAAAGGACCCCTTTTTGCAGAGTAGACAGTCCAACGTATTTCATAAGAAGCATGGCGAGTTGTTTGAAGTTGTAATTTTTTTGTCATAATTTTTCAGAAAGTGAATTAAACAAATGATTCATTATTTTATTTTTTTTACATAGTGTCACCAGTGCAGTACAGCATCTGCCTATAACTGGCATGGCAGTGATCAGGTACACTAACTGGTGACAGTACAAAAAAACAAAACAAAAAACTGACCACATTGGGGAAGTGGTCAGTTTTTTTTTTTTTTTTTTTTTTTTTACACACACACAATTTGCTTATAGCAAAGAGTTACTTTGCTTTAAGCAAGCCTTTACCTGAATGACATCGATTCATTCAGGGTTTTTTTTTTTTTGTGCTTAGCTGTGACTTGGCCAAGCTAATCACATGACACAGCTGGGCTGTGATTGGCCAGCCTGTGCATGTGATCACTGACACACAGCTAGTACACACTTGTATACAATGGATGGCATGAATGAAGCCATCCATTGCATACAACTGTCATGTGACCTGCTGTGATTGGTCACAGCAGGTCACATGGTACTGGCAATGGGGCCGGTACTCCGAGGTCATCGGCTGTGTCCAAGGTACACGGCTGGTGACAGATCGCACAGCAGCGCGGCCCTGCGCAATGCACATTCCTGAAAAGACGCCATGTAGCATCCACCCGGAATACGAGCTGTTCGCCCAGCCACCATCTGGCTATCCACTGCTGCGAGGACTTCGTTCCGCTTTTAATCGCCTCCCTCCCGCCCACCATATAGTCCAATGACTGGTGCCATGTGGTTCTCTCGTTCTGGGAGGAGTCATATGACGTCCTCCCATTATCATCACACATGAATGGCTCCAGGAGCGCACAGCGCCGTGATCAGCGGTGTGCTGTGACCCTCGGACACAGCGGATCACAGATCAACGGAAAGGGCCGAAGAGGTCGGCTCGGTCATGTGATCAGCTGTGTCCAATCATCGATTGCATGTAAAACAGGGAAATGCTGGTTATCGGCATTTCTCTCCTCACGAGCCGTCACGCTGACAGAGGAGAGGAGAGCCAGTAATCGGCATTCTTCGGAGGGGCAATGTGCCCTGATGATCAGTGTAGCCCCAGGAATGCCACCTCTCAGTACTCATCCATGACACCTTAGGATTCTGCATCCAAATGCTTTGAGATTGAAGAGGGGGCAGATGTCACTTTTTGGTTTGGGAACTGTGAAAATGTTGAAATAAATCTCTTAATCCAGAAAATATACATGAACTGCAAGAAGGTCTGCAACTGTATGCAATGACACAGGAAGGTTAAAAGACATGAACCAGGAAGATACGTGGGAGAGGAACTAACTTTCTGACCCTGGAAACACCTTCTGCACACAGTAATCTGAAATGCTGGCTATCCAGATTGTTGCAACACATCTGCAAAGCTCCCACTTCATGCTGGAGAGGACTTGTCTCAAGATTTGGATAGTTGAAAGCCCAGGGTTTGGAAGTTGAACTGGGCTCCTACCTTGGTTCTGGCCTTAGAGGGTGAAGCCTGGACTTAAAAAGGAACTTTTCGTGGCAGTGGTGGAGGGACAAGTCATCCCAGTTTAAGGGCTAGGCTTCTTCTGCTGCAGTAGATAAGCATTCTTGCCCTCAGTGACCTCCTTAATGAGCATGTCCAAGGCTACTATGCCATACATCGTCCCTCATGTCATTGTCGCTCAAAGGACATGTAAAGCGAACATTTCAACCAAAAAAAAAAAAAAAAAAAGATCTTCACCTGTTCATGGATAGGAAAAGGAAAACAGGACAGGATACATCCACTAACCCATCTAGACAGTAGTTCAGGGGTGCTGACATGAGGTCTAAGCTCTCAACCCATAGAGAATCTGTGTAGAAGCTGGATCCCTTCTCATATCAATTCCCCTAATCCTTTGCTAGGCTAGCATCATGGCCATGAAAGGTTGCAATGCAAGCCCTGAAAGAGAAAACAGGGTTTAGGAAAAACATTTCCAAAGACCTAACCCTGTCCAAAAATCTTCAAATCCATAAAGGTCACATCCTCTACAGCAGTGCTTCTCAAAGGAGACAAGGGCCTGCTAAAGTCTTCAAAAATCTTCCATGACCCAACATGGCCATAATCAATAGGCAGATTGCAACTGACTTGCTGCCAAACCCTGTTCCCGCTTTTTTACTCCATCCATAACAAATATAAAATTATGGATTTAAGTGTACCTAAAGCCCAGATGTAATTTTTAAGAAGCTATAGGGCTGATCCATGAAGAAAAATGGCAAGTGGTATGCCACTGTAACCAAATTCTTGTTTAATGTTCCTCAAAAACAAAAAGTAAAATCTGATTGGTTCCCACAAGTTACAGGTCCAGTTCTCTACATAAATAATGAGAATTGAAAGTAAGTAATGTCCCCAGGGAGACGGTATTGCACAGCATCTCTTCACATGAATGCATAAACCAATCAGAAAGGATACAAACGTGCAACAAGCACTTTCAAATTGGCCATCAATGAACCAAAAGCAATTACTGGGGCATCACTCCTGTAATAGATCATATGTCCAGATTGGTGAGGGAGGGGAGTGTTGTGAAAGTAACCGTAAAATGCAAAACAGAGGGGGGTGGCCAAAACTGGTCATGGTCCCCTGGAGTAGATTGTACACTTCTGACTCTCTTCCATGTCCACTACTGTTTCAGAATGCCAAAACACAATTGTCTGGTGCTGATCAACAAGAGCCACAGCAGACAGGGCCGGAGAAAAATACACAAGTTCCCCTTGCAAAACCCAAAACCCCCTCCAGCTCTAGGCAGGTCACTGAAACCCGCCTGGTGCAAATGGGACTCTACTGCAGTGTGTCAGGCTTGAACAGATATCAGCAACATACAAGTCAAGATTCTTCAGAACACAGTGTCCTGTATGCCCGCTGGGCCCCAGAATAATAACTGCAAGGCTCCCTCCATTCAGTTACATTTGCTGCTCTGTGCAAGGAGGCCGGAGTTTGGCGCGTTCATAAGGAGGCCGGAGTTTGGCGAGTATCACTTTGCTATGACTGTCAGGCAGCCAGAGAAGGCTAGAAGGACCCCCACAATTCCATCCCAACTCCAGGAGCCAATGGGAGTGCAGGACAGCACACTCCTGCTAAACCACATCCCCATCTGCTCCAGTAGCTAAAGCAAACCTTTTCAATACAGAGGAGCCCTTGAAATATCCGTTTTCAGGGAACCCCGGCTAAAAATTGGTATATCTACAACTCATGAGGCATTAGTGTGATGGTCAGTGGAAAAAAAACGTCCCTTACATCAGCGGGAAAAACCCCTTACATGGGGGGGTCGGGGGGAAGAATGCGGGAAGAACCCCCTACATTGGGGGGTCGGCGGGGTCCCCTACATTGGGGGGTCGGCGGGAAGAATGCCCCCTACATTGGGGGGTCGGCGGGAAGCATCGGGCCCTTACATCGGGGGTCGGCGGGAAGAACGCCCCTTACATCGGGGGTCAGCGGGAAGAATGCCCCTTACATCGGGGGTCAGCGGGAAGAACGCCCCTTACATTGGGGGTCAGCGGGAAGAATGCCCCTTACATTGGTGGTCAGTGGGAAGAATGCCCCTTACATTGGGGGTCAGCGGGAAGAATGCCCCTTACATTGGGGTCAGCAGCGGGAAGAATGCCCCTTACATTGGTGGTCAGTGGGAAGACTGCTACTTACACTCGTGGTCAAAAAGGGAAGAATTAACCCCTTACAGATAGTTAAAAACATCAATGGTGTCAGTGGGAACATATACAGTGGGAGAAATTTTTCATTGCTCAAGGAAGCCCTAGCAACCTCTGGAGGAACCCTAGTTGAGAAACCCTGAGCTAAAATCTAGCTGTAAGAGCCAACAGGAAACCAGTGCCTAGGAGGAGGAAGGCTGCAGACTGCTGATTGGAGACCACTGCTGTAGAGCGGTGGTTCTCAAACTGCAGCCCGGGGGCCAGATGTGGCCCTTTGCTTGCTTTTATCTAGCCCTTGGGGCACTATTTCATCCATGGATATCAACAATGGGGCATAATTCCTCCCTACAACACCAACAGTGGGCCCAATAACGCTAATGATGGGGTATAATTCCTCCCACCACCACCAAAGATGGGGCATTGTTCTCTACTCTCAATGGCCACAGTCCAGCCCCCCTAAAGTCTGAAGGACAGTAAACTTGCCCTTTGTTTTGTAAGTGGAGACCCCTACTCTACAGGAATCAGTGGGGTTTGTTTTTAAAGACAGGATACTGTCAGAGCTACAGTGGGCATGGGCCACTTCTTGGCACTGCTGTCTACCAGCCCTTTAAGGGGTTTCAGAGGGTGGGAGTCGGGACAGGGTTTTTGATCATGTGACAACTGTGATTGTCTGGCACAGTGATCACATGACTGCAAAGCTCTCAATCACAAGTAGAGATTGGGAGCTTTCCATTAGCCACAGTTAACTGTGCAGGGAGCGTGCACATCAAGCACTTCCAGCACAGTTGTGTATCTTCAGGAACGCATATATGTGGCCTCTCAGCGTGAAGGCCCACCCGCCGAGAGGCCGCATATATGCATATGGCCTGGGAAGCAGTTAAACTGGCACTGAATTGAAAAATATTTCAGAGATATGGAGTTTATCAGGAGTTGCCTGGTCTCCATACAGGACAATAGTGTACCAGAGATGTTTTAGTAGTCTTTAGAGCCTCTAAGGTCCAACCTATGGCCCTTTGGTATATGATATGCAACCCTCAGCTGTCTGTAGTGAGAACATGGATTAGGGTAACAGCATTTATCTCCACCAGCATCATGTAACATGTTCCCCATTTCATACGGCCTTCTGCAGCATATCCTGAGCCAACAATATATCCTGTCCACACACAGACTCATTTCCTCTATTAGGTCTGCACTCTCTGACCCTCTTCTCAAGCATTGCATATTATGGGGTTGAGTGCAAAATCAGGTGCAGCTGTGCATGGTAGCCAATCAGCTTCTACCTTCCACTTGTTCAATTAAGCTTTGACCCCCCCAAAAAAATAACTTGGAAGCGGACTGGTTTCTATGTAGAGCTGCACCAGATTTTGCACTCTCCAATTTTAGTCAATCAACGCAATATGTGGCCCTTTGGTGAGATCAAGGGACACATTTGAAGGCCCCCTTCAGATCGGTTGACAGCCATTGCTCACTGCTTTAACCTCCCTAGCGGCCTGATTATGTCCATATTTCTGTGCTCAAAGCGGTACTTTTTTTTGCATGGAAATATGTATTTTTTTATTGTAGGCCTGTAATTTTTAGGAATAACTCACTGAAATCTGTCCGAACAAGAGTCTAGTAAACATCCCGGGGAGGATAAAATTTGAAACACAAAATCATAAATTATAATTTATTAAATCATAAAAAATATAATAAATTTAATTCAATAATATAATCAAACCAAAAACACTGAAATGTGAAATATAGCGCCAAGTTGGCCCATCGCTGAGCTCAGTCGCAGAATCATTTTCAGCGGTCTGATGAGGAATTTCCCCCACCAATCATTATCACTCAATTCTGCAAGTGGTTCTGATTTACTATCGCTGTTCTCTAGCCGGTCTAAAACCGCGTCTGACCTAAAGGGACGCTTTTTGGACGCCATGGACGTTTCTCAGTTTCCAGGCAGAAGGGGCGGTAAAAAATGCAGGCAGGGCGCCGGACAAAGCACTCGGGACACAATGTATGTGAAATGGTTGGATACAGGAATGTTATACTATGTGATTTTAGTGTATTTAGTGAATGTCACTTTTTGTAATTTTCAAATTTCCCGCCAGTTCCATCCCCCGTATCTCCCGACGTCGCAGGGAACGGAACCCGGAAGACAGATGCCGGCATCAGCTGGAGGAGATGGCCGGGGACACTGCAGGGGGGACATTGCGGGAGCGCAGGACAAGGTAAGTGCAGAAGAGATCCCGGAGCAACGCTGCAGTGTATTCCCGAGTGTAGCTCAGGGGGGGGTTACTGCTTGTGGTGCTGAAACTTTACCCCCGAGCTACACTCGGGAATACCGCCAGGGAGGCCAACTACCCCCTGGCGGTATTCCTGAGTGTAGCTCAGTATTAACTTTCAGTACCAGAAGTGGTAAGCCCCCCCCAGCTACACAGGAATACCCTGCAGCGTTGGCTCTGTGATCCCTGTATCACCTTGTCCTGCGCTCCCGCGATATCCCCCCTGCAGCGTCCCCGACCATGTCCTCCAGCTGATTCCGGGTTCCTCTCCCTGAGAGCGTTGTGATGTACGGGGGACGGAACCGGCAGGAAATTCAAAAATTTTAACATTTTACATACACATAATACACTAAAATCACATAGTATAACATTCCTGTATCAAACCATTTCACATACATTTTGTCCCGAGTGCTTTGTCCTGCCTGCATTTTTACTGTTCTTTCTGCCTGGAAACTGAGAAACGTCCATGGCGTCCAAAAAGCGTCCCTTTAGGTCAGACGCGGTTTTAGACCGGCTAGAGAACAGCGATAGTAAATCAGAACCACTTGACGAATTTCCCCCACAAATCATTATCACTCAATTCTGCATCAGACACTGAAAACGATTCCGTGACTTTGCTCAGCGATGTGCGAACTTAGCGCTCTATTTCACATTTCAGTGTGATTACATTATTGAATTAAATTTATTATAATTTTTTATGATTTATAATAATTTATTTCGCGTTTCAAATTTTATCCTCCCCGGGATATTTACTAGACTCTTGTTGGGATAGATTTCAGGGAGTTATTCCTAAGAATTACAGGCCTACAAAAAAAAAAAAAACAAAAACAAAGCATATTTCCATAGAAAACAATGTACGGCTTTGAGCACAAAAATACTGACATAAGACCGCTAGGGAGGTTAAAGGGATCCTAGACAGGTAGCAGCACTAGAAGTTACAGGCGGCTTTTCCATTTTTAGGTTGGCATTGACTGCAACAAAAGAGCCAAAAGTGGTCTTTCAAAGCTTGAGCGTCATGGCAGCTGCCTGAGGCTAGTCAGACCTCATTATCTGGCAACAGACCCTTCATGGGAGCCCCTACTGCAGAGGGCTCAGAGGCTGCAGGCAAGCCAGCTAATGATTACAGATAAACAGGGAAACGTGTTGAGGTATACTTATGGCCCCTATGACAAAATGAGGGAGAGAAAAAAAAAAAAAAAAAAAAAAAAAAGCGCAAAAGTCTTGTGTACGATTGCAAAACAATTTGTTGATCTTAAAATGCACAAAAGGCAGGTGGCTATGAGTGACAATCAACCAGAATCTCAGTAGCTGCATCAATCTTAGGCACTTACAATCGCAGGTACTGGGGTTCTGGTTACTCATGAACGCTCATAGCCGCACGGCTTTTGCGAGTATGCCTTTTACATCAATAAATTGTTTTGGGGCAAGTCACAAGGCTTTTGCACCCTTTTTTTCCCCCCCCCCGTTCTGTCATTCAGAGTTGAAGATTTCCCATTCGGAAGGGGGCTGTAGAGCCTAAAACATCACCTGCTATCCTAGATTGTAAGCTCCCAGGATCAGGGCCCTCCTATCCCTCTTGTATTGAACTGTATTGTTGCTGTATTGTCTCCCGTTATATTGTACAGCGCTGAGCAAACTGTTGGCGCCATAAATCCTGAATTATAATAATATTGGAGTGAAACTCTATACCAGCCTCTAAACCAGGGTACCCAGGCACCCCGGGGTGCCTTGAGGTTTCTTCAGGGGTGCCTTAGCAAAATGACTAAACTTGTATAAAAGCCAGTGGCTGCCTTTTAGTTGCACAAAGCCACAGGTTCCCATTGTGCACCATTACGACCTTCTAGCTGCCGGCGTCCTGACAACCAATGACATCATCAGTTGGTAAGGAGGATGTCAGCTGTCTGCACAGCATCCTCGTTTGACCCTCCCCCCCCCCGCCCCTCTCCATCAGTGCTGGGGTCACATTAGCTCAGTGATGGAGAACAAGAAGAGAAATGGAATACTAGTCAGTACCGGTGTGCAGAAGTGTATTTGCGTTGGAAGAATAAATCCCCTCTAATGTTGGGTGCCCTACATATGTGGATGTTGGTAGAATTGGGGGGGCCTCAGGACTGTCCAATGGATTTTAAAGGGTGCCTCGGGACCGTCCAATGGATTAAAAAGGGTGCCTCGGGACCGTCCAATGGATTAAAAGGGTGCCTCGGGACCGTCCAATGGATTAAAAGGGTGCCTCGGGACCGTCCAATGGATTAAAAGGGTGCCTCGGGACCGTCCAATGGATTAAAAAGGGTGCCTCGGGACCGTCCAATGGATTAAAAGGGTGCCTCGGGACCGTCCAATGGATTAAAAGGGTGCCTCGGGACCGTCCAATGGATTAAAAGGGTGCCTCGGGACCGTCCAATGGATTAAAAGGGTGCCTCGGGACCGTCCATAATTTTAGACAGTCCCGAGGCACCCTTTTAAACCATGGACAGTCCCGAGGCACCCTTTTAAACCATGGACAGTCCCGAGGCACCCCATTCTACCAACATCCACATATGTAGGGCACCCAACATTAGAGGGGATTTATTCTTCCAAAGCAAATGGAATACTAGTCAGTACCGGTGTGCAGAAGTGTATTTGCTTTGGAAGAATAAATCCCCTCTAATGTTGGGTGCCCTACATATGTGGATGTTGGTAGAATGGGGTGCCTCGGAACTGTCCATAATTTTAAAGGGTGCCTCCAGGACTGTCCATAATTTTAGACAGTTCCGAGGCACCCCATTCTACCAACATCCACATATGTAGGGCACCCAACATT